TATGACAGGTGTAGGGTGACATGACAGGCGTAGGGATCATATGACAGGTGTAGGGTGACATGACAGGCGTAGGGATCATATGACAGGTGTAGGGTGACATGACAGGCGTAGGGATCATATGACAGGTGTAGGTTCATACATGACAGGTGATTGCTGAAGAGTTAAATGCCAGGGGTGTGGGATGTACAGGTGTCGGGTGATGAGCCAGGTGTCGGGTGTACAGGTGTGCCCCTCCCTTCCCCCCGCAGTCACACACACGGACATTACCCGTAGCTGTCCCCGGGGTCCATCCTCTCCGGGGGCCGGTCGGTGTCCCGGGATCCGGTGAAGGGTGTGGAGAGGCGGATGCAGATCCCTGGCGGGGTGGAGGAGGCGCAGCGGTGGAGCTCCGGCTCGGAGTGTCCGGTACACAGACGGGGCTGAGTGGCGGGGAGGAGCTCGGTGCCGGGGAGGGGAAGCTCGGTGCCGGGGAGGGGGAGGGGGACATTCACACGGACAGTCGCTGCGATTCCTTCTTCCACTATTGATCCGTCTTCACTCCCCGGCGCCTGCCGAGAACAAGGCGGGACAGCGACCCCTACCGACCGCACCTGGGTACTGCACCTCTCCAGTGATCGGAAATGACAACGTGTACTTCGCGTGTTTGTATCTTATTGTATCATTTTGTATTATTTTATTTATACACTTTTTGTGTTTTAATAATTAAATAAAAAATAAATAATACAAAATAAGTGTATTTTTGTCATTTTAAAGTATTTCCCCCTTAAATTTCATCTCCCGAAAGCCCAGGACCGGTACTGTAAAAAGACGATCAGCGCAATTTCTTACATCTTCCGATAGCTGCGCAAATGTTTATCAAAGCTAGGATTCATATTCATGCATTTTTTTTCACACCAGGATTCACATAATTGAAAAGAGTGAATCCTGGGTGAAAACATTTACACATAGACCCCTAAAATGAAGTATAAATGACAAATTCACGGTGTGAACGCCTGCGCATGCGCACAGCCATCGCAGGTGGTCCCTATGATGTGTCAAATTTGGTTATTTCTTATGATTGTTATCACCATCTATCTGCCATAATGCGCTACTTTCCTGAAATACCTCAGTTAGGATAATGCCACATTATGGCCACTAGATGGTGCTGATATTTATAGGAAATACACATTATGGGGATTATTTGTGACAAGTGTGTGAATGTCTCAGTTGTTTATACATAAATCATTAGATACATACTCCTGACCGCTGCATTCTGTATGCTGTGCTGTATGTTAGATACTCCTGACTGCTGCATTCTGTATGCTGTGCTGTATGTTAGATACTCCTGACCCAGGGGCGGACTGACCATTTGGAAACTCGGGCACTGCCCAAGGGTCCGGGGTCAGTAGGGGGCCCCATGAGATGCCCCTGGTACCTTTTTCATAGGCTTTCTTGAGTTTGGGCAAGGACACAAGGGCCCCATGATCCCCTATTGCCCGGGGGCCCCATGAGTTGTCAGTGAACCCGTCCTGACCGCTGCATTCTGTAACCTGTGCTGTATGCTACATACTCCTGACCGCTGCATTCTGTAAGCTGTGCTGTATGTTACATACTCCTTGCTGCTGCATTCTGTATGCTGTGCTGTATGTTACATACTCCTGACCGCTGCACTTTGTAAGCTGTGCTGTATGTTACATACTCCTGACCGCTGCATTCTGTATGATGTGCTGTATATTACATACTCCTGACCGCTGCACTTTGTAAGCTGTGCTGTATGTTACATACTCCTGACTGCTGCATTCTGTAAGCTGTGCTGTATGTTACATACTCCTAACCGCTGCATTCTGTAAGCTGCGCTGTATGTTAGATACTCCTGACCGCTGCACTTTGTAAGCTGTGCTGTATATTACATACTTCGGACCGCTGCACCTTGTAAGCTGTGCTGTATGTTACATACTCCTGACCGCTGCATTCTGTAAGCTGTGTGGATGCTACATACTCCTGACTGCTGCATTCTGTAAGCTGCACTGTATGTTAGATACTCCTGACTGCTGCACTTTGTAAGCTGTGCTGTATGTTACATACTCCTGACTGCTGCATTCTGTATGATGTGCTGTATATTACATACTCCTGCCCTCTGCATTCTGTAAGCTGTGCTGTATGTTACATACTCTTGACCGCTGCATTCTGTATGCTGTGCTGTATGTTACATACTCCTGACCGCTGCATTCTGTATGATGTGCTGTATGTTACATATCCCTGAATGCTGCATTCTGTAAGCTGTGCTGTATGTTACATACTCCTGATTGCTGCATTCTGTAAGCTGTGCTGTATGTTACATACTCCTGATCGCTGCATTCTGTAAGCTGTGCTGTATGTTACATACTCCTGATCGCTGCATTCTGTAAGCTGTGCTGTATGTTACATACTCCTGACCACTGCATTCTGTATGCTGTGCTGTATGTTATACTCCTGACCACTGCATTGCTGTGCTATGCTATGCTGTATGCTACATACTCCTGACCAGGGGCAGACTGACCATTTCGGCACTCGGGCACTGCCCGAGGGCCCGGTGGCAGTAGGGGGCCCCATGAGGTGCCCCTGGTAGCTTTCATAGGCTTTTTTGGGTGTGGTTTGAGTGTGGGCAAGGACACAGGGGCCCCATGATTTCCTATTGCCTGGGGAGCCCCATAAGTTGTCAGTCTACCCCTGCTCCTGACCGCTGCATTCTGTAAGCTGTGCTGTATGTTACATACTCCTTGCTGCTGCATTCTGTAAGCTGGCTTCTCCAGACCCTTTCATGTCTTTCCCATGTGCTCAGGGTGAACCTGCTCTCATCTGTGAAAAGCACAGGGTGCCAGTGGTGGACCTGCCAATTCTGGGGTTCAATGGCAAAGGCCAATCCAGCTCTATGGTGCCGGGCAGTGAGCACAGGGCCCACTAGAGGACGTCGGGCCCTCAGGCCACCCTCATGAAGTCTGTTTCTGATTGTTTGGTCAGAGACATTCACACCAGTGGCCTGCTGGAGGTCATTTTGTAGGGCTCTGGCAGGGCTCATCCTGTTCCTCCTTGCACAAAGGAGCAGATACCGGTCCTGCTGATGGGTTAAGGACCTTCTACGGCCCTGTCCAGCCCTCCTAGAGGAACTGCCTGTCTCCTGGAATCTCCTCCATGCTCTTGAGACTGTGCTGGGAGACACAGCAAACCTTCTGGCAATGGCACGTATTGATGTGCCATCCTGGAGGAGTTGGCCTGCCTGTGCAACCTCTGTAGGGTCCAGGTATGGCCTCATGCTACCAGTAGTGACACTGACCCTAGCCAAATGCAAAACTAGTGAAAAACAGTCAGAAAAGATGAGTAGGGAGAAATGTCACCTGTAAAACCATTCATGTTTTGGGGGTCGTCTCATTGTTGCCCATCTAGTGCACCTGTTGATAATTTCATGAACAACAAAGCAGCTGAATCTGCTTACCATCCCCATCTGCTACTTACCTGACCAGATCAATATCCCAGGAGTTTCATTGACTTGATGCTAGACTCTGATTAAGAAATGTTCCTTTATTTTTTTTGAGCAATGTATATATATATGTATTTATTTTTCAGTAAGGGCTCATTTTCTCAGATATATACAGTGCTCGGACTAAATGAGTCCACCCCAACCGATTTGTCAGAAAACCTTTACTTCCCTTTCAGAATCCACATTTTCTATGGGACTCTATACCAGGGGCGGACTGACCATTTGGAAACTCGGGCACTGCCCGAGGGCCCGGGGTCAGTAGGGGGCCCAATGAGATGTCCCTGGTACCTTTTTCATAGGCTTTTTTGAGTTTGGGCAAGGACACAGGGGCCCCAGGATCCCCTATTGCCCGGGGGCCCCATGAGTTGTCAGTCCGCCCCTGCTCTATACTACAAAATCCTCCCACAAATGCTGGCCATTGATAGCAAACAAGATTTGGTAATTTGCACACATAAAAAAAGTATTTTCCTAACAAATTCATTCAAGAACATGTTGCAAAAATGAACACACCCTAATGAAAATCTTAGGAGCAAAGCTAAATATTAGACAACAAAATCTTAATTAACCCCTTCCCGTCTGACCGCTGTATATATAAACGGCTGGATGGTGGCAGTGCAGGGGTGGGTTGGCGTTCATAAACGGCGCCCGCCATTTTGGATTGTGCGCACTCCCTGGGAAAGCGAGGCTGTACTGTACTGCTAGGGTGATGGTATGCTAAAAAAAATAGATAATAAAAAAAAAAATAAAATGTAAAAAATAAATTTTTGAAAGATTATATTGGGTTATAAATTAATCTGGGTTATATTTTTTTTTTTTACTAAAAAGATAACTGAATACATTTTGGCCAAGATTTATTAAGAAAGAATATTTATTTGCAAAAGAAAAACACTTTTTTTCAAAATTTTTGGACTTTTTCATTTATAGAGCAAAAAAAAAAAAAAAATCCCAGCGGTGAATAAATACCACCAAAATAAAGTTTTATCTGTCTCTAAAAAAATGCTAAAAATTTCATATGGGTACAATGTTTCCTGGCCACGCAATTGTCATTCAAAGTGTGATAGGGCTGAAAGCTGAAAACTGGCATGGATAGGAAGGGGGTGAAAGCGTCCGGACTGGAAGGGGGTGAAAGCGTCCGGACTGGAAGGGGGGTGAAAGCGTCCGGACTGGAAGGGGGTGAAAGCGTCCGAACTGGAAGGGGGGGTGAAAGCGTCCGGACTGGAAGGGGGTGAAAGCGTCCGGACTGGAAGGGGGTGAAAGCGTCCGGACTGGAAGGGGGTGAAAGCGTCCGGACTGGAAGGGGGTGAAAGCGTCCCGACTGGAAGGGGAGTGAAAGCGTCCCGACTGGAAGGGGAGTGAAAGCGTCCCGACTGGAAGGGGGTGAAAGCGTCCGACTGGAAGGGGGTGAAAGCGTCCCGACTGGAAGGGGGTGAAAGCGTCCCGACTGGAAGGGGGGGAAGCGTCCGGACTGGAAGGGGGTGAAAGCGTCCGGACTGGAAGGGGGTGAAAGCGTCCGGACTGGAAGGGGGTGAAAGCGTCTGGACTGGAAGGGGGTGAAAGCGTCCCGACTGGAAGGGGAGTGAAAGCGTCCCGACTGGAAGGGGGTGAAAGCGTCCCGACTGGAAGGGGAGTGAAAGCGTCCGGACTGGAAGGGGGTGAAAGCGTCCCGACTGGAAGGGGGGGAAAGTGTCCGGACTGGAAGGGGGTGAAAGCGTCCCGACTGGAAGGGGGTGAAAGCGTCCCGACTGGAAGGAGGTGAAAGCGTCCCGACTGGAAGGGGGTGAAAGCGTCCCGACTGGAAGGGGGGTGAAAGCGTCCCGACTGGAAGGGGGGGAAGTGTCCGGACAGGTAGTGGTTAAGAAGAATTCATCTTCAGGTGAGTCTAATTATTCATTAAACAGGTGTCCAGCAGACAGCTGATAATAAATGGGCGTTACTTAACAAAGAAAACCCCGCCCATTTCATGCTGTCAGCAATGACACCACATGGAAAGGTCACAAGGCTTGGGAAAGAAAATCATTTCTTTACACAAGAAAGGTGAAGGCTACGGCTAGGCTCACATATGTGCGTGTGGTGCCGCACAACCCGCACTGAAGAATGCGGACCCACATGCGTGTGCCATTACTTCTAATGGCACGCCGCCCGCACTGGAAATCGCAACCGTACTGAGAACCTCGGTTCCCATGCAGGCTGCATCTTCAAAAGAGGTGCAGGGACTTCTTAACTGCGTGCACGGGGCACGGGAGTCCATTCAAAAGAATGGGCTCTCCTGCCCACGTAAAACGCAGACCGCAGAAACGCAGATATGTGAACCGGGGGCTAAAGAGGATCAGCAAATCTTTAGTTATCAATCAGAATACTGCAGCAAAAGTGAAACAAAAATGTAACAAAGATGGGCGTTTCATTGTCTGGATGCTAGACTCAGATTATAAAGTGTTCCTTTAATTGTTTTGAGCCGTGGACAAATGTTTTGGCATTCTCATGTTTATTTCTTTGGTTTGTATGGGTCTGACACAAAAAAGTGGAGAAACAAAAAGCCAAATCTGATACATTCCACATAAAACCCCCAAAATGGACTGGACAACATTATTGGCACCTTCTCAAAATTGTAAGAAATAATTGCACTGAAAGTTTGTGGCGCTCCTGTAATTTGTCATTAACCCCCTCCCGCCCGCCATATAGTAATATGACGGGCGCACGGTGGTTCTCTCTCATATGACGTCCTTCCATTCTCACTGGCGCGGCGATCGGCGGTGCTCTGTGTCCCTCGGACACAGTGGATCACCGATCCACGGAAAGAGCCGAAGATGTCGGCTCGGTCATGTGATCAGCTGTGTCCAATCACAGCTGATCACATGTAAACAAGGAAATGCCGGTTATCAGCATTTCTCTCCTCTTGAGCTGTCACGCTGACAGAAGAGGAGAGGAGAGCCGGTAATCGGCTTTCCACAGAGGAGACATGTACACTGATCATCAGAGCACTGATGATTAGTGTGCCCTGATGATCAGTGTAGCCCCAGCAGTGCCACCTGTCAGAGTCTATCAGTGCCTCGTGCCAGTGCACATCAGTGCACATCAATGCCCACATATCAGTGCCCATCTGAGCTGCCTTTTAGTGTCACCCATCAGTGCCAGTCATTACCACCTATCAATGCCAATCAGTGCTGCCTATCAGTGCCAGTCAGTGCTGCCTATCAGTGCCAGTCAGTGCCGCCTAACAGTGCCAGTTAGTGCCGCCTAACAGTGCCGCCTATCAGTGCCATATATCCGTGCCATACATCAGTGCTGCCTATCAGTGCCCATCGGTGCTGCCTATCAGTGCCATCAGTGCCACCTATCAGTGCCTCCTCATTAGTGCCCATCAGTGCTGCCTATCAGTGCCTCCTCATCAGTGTCCATACATGCAGCTTATCAGTGCCCATCAGAGCCACTTCATCAGTGCTCATCAATGCAGCTTATCAGTGCCCATCAGTGCAGCCTCATCAACACACATCAGTGAAGGAGAACAATTACCGATTTGCAAACTTTTCTTTTTTTGCTCTTTTTTTGTTTATAGTGCAAAAAATTTTAAAACACCCCACAGCGATTAAATACCACCAAAAGAAAGCTCCATTTGTGTGGAAAAATGATGAAATTTTCATATGGGTACAGTGTTGCATGACCGCGCAATCGGCATTCAAAGTGTAAGAGCGCTGAAAGCTGAAAATTGGCCTGGACAGGAAGGGGGTGAAAGTGTCTGGTAAGCAAGTGGTTAAAGAAAAGAATCCAGTCCCTCCAGTCACACATGGTGGGGGGTCACTGAGGTTTTGGGGTTGCTTTGCTGTTTCAGGCACTGGATGTCTGGACCGTGTGCATGGCATTAGGAAATCTAAAGACTACCAAAGAATTCTGGGGTGTAATGTAGGGCCGTGTCAGAAGTTGGGTCTCCGTCAGAGGTCAGGGTCTTCCAGCAGGACAATGACCCAAAGCACGCATCAAAAAGCCCCCAGAAATGGTTCCAGACAAAGCGCTGGAGAGGACTAAACTGACCAGCAATGAGTTCAGATCTAAATCCCATAGAACTTCTTTGGAGAGATCTCAGACAGCAGTTGGGGAAAGAACCCTTCCAATCGGATTGGAGACTTGGGACAGTTGGGGAAATGGAACCCTTCCAATCGGAGAGACCTTGGCAGTTGGGGAAAGGAACCCTTCCAATCTGAGAGACCTGGGGCAGTTGGGGAAAGGAACCCTTCCAATCGGAGAGACCTGCGGCAGTTGGGGAAAGGAATTCTTCCAATTGGATAGACCTGGGGAAGTTGGGGAAAGGAATTCTTCCAATCGGAGAGACCTGCAGCAGTTGGGGAAAGGAACCCTTCCAATCGGAGAGACTTGGGGCAGTTGGGGAAAGGAACCCTTCCAATCGGAGAGACCTGCGGCAGTTGGCGAAAGGAACCCTTCCAATCGGAGAGACCTGCTGCAGTTGGGGAAAGGAACCCTTCCAATCGGAGAGACCTGGGGCAGTTGGGGAAAGGAACTCTTCCAATCGGAGAGACCTGGATTCAGTTGGCGAAAGGAACCCTTCCAATCGGAGAGACATGGGGCAGTTGGGGAAAGGAATTCTTCCAATCGGAGAGATCTGCAGCAGTTGGGGAAAGGAACCCTTCCAATCGGAGAGACTTGGGGCAGTTGGGGAAAGGAACCCTTCCAATCGGAGAGACTTGGGGCAGTTGGGGAAAGGAACCCTTCCAATCGGAGAGACCTGGGGCAGTTGGGGAAAGAAGAGTGATCCAAAATTCCAGTAGAGAGGTGGAAGAAATTCATTGATGGTTACAGGAAGCCATGGATTTCAGTTCTTTTTTCCAAGGGGTGTGCTACCAAATATTACATTGAGGGTGAAAATAATTTCGGCCACAACTGTGCGTTCCTCCAAATTCAGTGTAACGACAATCACTGCCGATAATTATTTTAAATAAATAATTATTATTCCTTCAGCAAAGAAGGCGATTCTGCTCGAACCCCGTCCTTCCCTTGTATTTGGCTGATGGACATTCACTAGATGGCAAAGGTCATGGTGACACTGTCTCTAATGGAGGGCGATGCACATCATGAACATGTCATGTAAACTTCGACCAAATCCATCCACCCCCCATGTCTTCCATTGGATTAGGATTGGAGTCCTGCAATGGAAATTGGTTTTATTGATTAGTCCATTCTCCTCTGAAGGACATTGGATACATTGGAGACAGAGGATTGATTATAGAAAGACATCAACAAGGGAAGAGATTTACTAAAATGTATTAGAATCAAAGAAGCCTTACCTGGGATGGCCTGTATTCAAATACAGCCTGTTTAGTCCAAACTGACAACTGCCCATTGAGGCATTCTAATAATCACATAACTCCTCCCACTGCTTACATCAGGACTGAGGGCTCTTAGTACTTAGGCAGAGTGCTGTGATGTTAGCTATGTTGGCCCCTCCCACCAGCCATGATCTGCCTGCATTGCATAGAGAAGCACAGAGACCCAGTGATGACATCACTAGATAACAAAAAATAATAATTGTAGATAAAACTGGAGGTAATTAAGACCAACTCCAAGTTCAGAGATCAGAGTGCCTGTCTCTGTACCCAGTGTAGCAGAGCAGCATATGTGCCGCAGCTACTCCGTCACTGGTTGTTAACCGCTTCTGGGCCCCCCTTATAGCAGAAATAATGGTACAGGGCAGCAGGCATGCCCAAAATCACGTATACATAAGTGATTTTGCAATTCTGGGTAGGGGGCGCGTGCATGCCCTACCCGCGCTGCCATTCGCAGCCAAGGCTGACAACACATTTTAGTGCAGCAAAGGCAGCTTTGTCAGCTCCAACAGGAAGTTAGGTGCTCACTTAATTTTGGCAGGATCAACAAGCTGTTCTTTTTTTTTTTTTTTATTCACAGCATTTCAGACGTATAAATAATGGGCAGGAGAGCATGTATTGCAGATAATCGGTATGTTTGATTTTTTTTTTTTTGCCCAATCTTCCCCTTGCCCCTGTTTATCCTTGGCTGTCAGTTGAGGGGGATTTTCTACTAACCTACATGAAAAACTATTCCCAAAATTGGAGTGGCTTTGAAAACAGATGGCAGGGGCTGCCCAGTGGTTTCTGCTGCAGCAGAAGTGTCCTCTGTGGGATTTGGCTAGGATTCTGTTTTTGGTGGGTCTCCCGTCTGACCAGAATTATCACCAGATATAAAATGTTTGTAACCAAAGAGGGGAATTCAATAAAGCTTCTGCCCCACGTTTCTGCCATCCATCACCCTTGTTAATACACTGCTGAAAAAAATGAAAGGAACCCTTTGAAAACCCATCAGATGTCAAGGGGAGGAATCTCCTGCTGGATCTCTATACTGACATGGACGGGGTCATGTGTTAGGAACGTAAGGACGCCCCATCGTTTGATGGAAATGAAATTGATCGACCTACAGAGGACTGAATTCAAAGACACCCCGAAAATCAAAGGGAAGAAATGATGCAGCAGGCGAGTCCATTTTGGTGAAATGTCATTGCAGCAACTCAGAATGGTCCTCAGTAGTTTGGATGGTCCCCACGTGCTTGTATGCATGCCTGACAACGTCGGGGGAGGCTCCTAATGAGACCACGGATGGTGTCCTGGGGGATTTCCTCCCAGATCTGGACCAGGACATCACTGAGCTCCTGGACAGTCTGAGGTGCAACCTGGAGGCGTCGGATGGACCTAAACATGACATCCCAGAGGGGTTCTATTGGATTTAGGTCAGGTGAGCGTGGGGGCAATTCAATGGTATCAATTCCTTCATCCTTCAGAAACTGACTGCATACTCTCCCCACATGAGGCCGGGCATTGTCATGCACCAGAAGGAACCCAGGACCCACTGCACCAGGAGGAACCCAGGACCCACTGCACCAGGAGGAACCCAGGACCCACTGCACCAGGAGGAACCCAGGACCCACTGCTCCAGTGTAGGGTCTGACAATGGATCCAAGGATTTCATCCCCATACCCAATGGCAGTCAATGTGTCATTGCCTAGCCTGTAGAGGTCTGTGTGTCCCTCCATGATATATACCTCCCCATACCATCACTGACCCACCACCAAAACAGTCATGCTGAACCATGTTACAGGCAGCAGAACGTTCTCCACAGCTTCTCCAGACCCTTTCACGTCTGTCACATGTGCTCAGGGGGAACCTGTTGTCATCTGTGAAAAGCACAGGGCGCCAGTGGTGGACCTGCCAATTCTGGGTTCAATGGCAAATGCCAGTCCAGCTCTATGGTGCTGGGCAGTGAGCACAGGGCCCACTAGAGGACGTCGGGCCCTCAGGCCACCCTCATGAAGTCTGTTTCTGATTGTTGATTGTTTTGGTCAGAGACATTCACACCAGTGGCCTGCTGGAGGTCATTTTGTAGGGCTCTGGCAGTGCTCATCCTGTTCCTCCTTGCACAAAGGAACAGATACCGGTCCTGCTGATGGGTTAAGGACCTTCTATGGCCCTGTCCAGTTCTCCTAGAGTAACTGCCTGTCTCCTGGAATCTCCTCCATGCTCTTGAGACTGTGCTGGGAGACACAACAAACCTTCTGGCAATGGCACGTCTTGATGTGTCGTCTTGGAGGAGTTTGACTGCCTGTGAAACCTCTGTAGGGTCCAGGTATGGCCTCATGCTACCAGTAGTGACACTGGCCATAGCCAAATGCAAACTAGTGAAAGACAGTCGGAAAAGATGAGTAGGGAAAAAATGTCACCTGTAAAACCATTCATGTTTTGGGGGTCGTCTCATTGTTGCCCATCTAGTGCACCTGTTGTTAATTTCATTAACACCAAAGCAGCTGAAACTGATGAACAACCCCCTCTGCTACTTACCTGACCAGATCAATATCCCAGGAGTGTCACTGACTTGATGCTAGACTCTGATTACAAAGTCTGTCTTTCATTTTTTGAGCACTGTAGGTTGCTTCAACTTCATGAAGCATCGGTGACACTTTTGGTTCTGAGAGCGACTCGTGCGCCAAATTCAAGGCAATTACAAGTTTTAAAATGCATCACTTTTTAGCATTGTGGCGCAATTCCTGCACCAAATTAGAATTGAAATGCAGTCAGTTTATTTTTAATGAAAGCGGAAATAACTCAGACTGTTTCGTGTGTGTTCTAAAAAGTGGCCAAATTCAAGGAATTTTACGTCGTGGCGCAACAGCTGCACCAAAATTCTAAATGAACTGCCAGAAGTTCATATCTTATGAAAGTGGAGCTAATTAAGACCAACTCTCTGTTGGCGAAGAGAGACAGATTTTCTGAAGGCGTCTCACGTGCGTTCTAAACGTGGCTCGTTATTTGGCTCGTATAGGTATATGAATTTGGTGCGCGCTGCGCCACTTTTGAAGTGCATGTGAGACACTTTTACAAAATCTTTTTTTTATAAGGACCAGTTCACACTCCATGCGTTTCAGTTGCTTTATTTTCTGCATCAAAAACGCACAGAAAGTAGGTGATATGGTTGTCAGTGTCATAGTTCACATCAGCGTTTGCAGTTCCGGTGCGTTCCGGTTGCAGAAAAAAAAGTAGAACAGGCAGCATTTTTCCTGCACAGAACTGTACTGGAATACGTTAAAGCAGATCAAAAAAGCACTGGAACGCGTCAAAAACGCACTGGAAGGCACAAGTCCCTATTTAAACTGAAGAAAAAGAAAGGGAAAAAATGAATCGGAACAGGCTGCATGTTTCCTGCACAGAACTGCACTGGAACGCATCAAAAACGCACCGGAACGCATAAAAAACCAC